AAATGTCATTCACTTAACAAATATTTTCTAACTGTATGCTAACTGTAAATCAGATAGTGTTTCATGTCATGAAATACATTAGTGAAAACAACAGATAGATAAATAGATGGGTGACTGGACAGATAAATGGATAGATAGATAGATAGATAGATAGATAGATAGATAGATAGATAGATAGAAATGTTGTGAGCTTTTACTGTATTAGCATAACCCATTCGTTGTTTCATTTTTTTATTTATTACAATTTATTCACTTTGTATCCCAGCTGTAGCCACCTCCCTCATCCCCACCCAATCCCAGCCTCCCTCCCTCCTTTCCTCCCATTCCCTTCCCCAAGTCCACTGATTGATAGGAGAGATCCTCCTCCCCTTCCATCTGAACCTACCCTATCAGGTCTCATCAGGACTGGCTGCATTGTCTTCTACCCTCCATGGGGAGGTAATTGAAGCCACTGAGTTCACATCAGAGACATCCCCTGTTCCCCTTACTAGGAAACCCACTTGGAGACTGAGCCGCCAAGGGCTACATCTATGCAGGGCTTCGAAGTTATATTCATGTATGGTCTTTGGTTGGAGTATCAGTCTCAGAAAAGACCCTTGGGCCCAGATTTATTGGTTCTGTTGCTCTTCTTGTGGAGTTCCTGTCCCCTCCAGGTCTTTCTATCTCCCTCTTCTTCCATAAGGTTTCCTGCACACTGCCCAAAGTTTGGCTATGAATCTCAGTATCTGCTTTGGTACCCTATTGGGTAGAATCTTTCAGAGGCCCTCTGTAGCAGGCTCCTATCCTGTTCCCTGTTTTCTCTCTCTTCAGATGTCTGTCCAGTTTGCCTTTCTGAATGAGGATTGATCATTTTACCCAGGGACTTCCTTCTTGATTAGCTTCTTTAGGTGTACAGATTTCAGTATGTTTTTCCTATATTATATTTCTAATATCCACTAATAAGTGAGCATATACTATGTGTGTCTTTTTGTTTCTGGATAACCCATTCTTTTACATTTTGTTTTTATCTAGATTTCTGGGGAGAATAAAAGTTATTAAATAATTGCTATTCAAGTCCAAGTAAAGTGGCCATTTAACAGCCAATGGGCTAAAATATGATCCTGACACTCCCTAAATTTAAGTTTTACCTTTTAAATATTTACAGACTGTACATTTCTCAATCATGTTTCTTAGGATCTAGTACTGAAACAGGCCAGCTTCTCTAATTGAACAGAGAAGCCACATAGACATATTCTCCTTTTTGTAGGAGAGTAGCTTTGTGTAACAGAGTGTTTGAATTAAAGATATTCTCAGAAAGTTTTACACATATGGCGCCCACATCTATGAAACTGGCCAGCATAATTAAATGACACCACACCACACCACACTCCCACCCCATCCCCCACGCGCGCACGCACACACACACCCACACACACACACACACACACACACAGAGTGTATCACTTCCTCAGATCAATGCATCTGCTTGGCAAAGCAGGCTTCCCAATGTGCCTTTTCCCCTCCGACCTACTCCAAAATGCTCTCCGGATCTCACCAGGCAGTACCGAGCTGCAGCAGCAATATAAAGGTTCAGTCCTAAGCACATGCTTGCAGCTTGTTAGCAACTTTCCCAGGCTTCAAAAGGACATTCTGTAGACGCTTATGAGGTAAGAGGGTGTTCCCAACTCAGCTGTGGCCAGCAGATGCTGTGCGACCGCTCTTACTTCCATGTGTGCCGATAAAAAGCAGGGAAAATGTGAATAATGGAAGAATGGCAGGCTGTTCTTTCGCGGGTGATGGTGCCTTTAAATGCAAGCTAAACACACACTTAAGCTTCTCCCTGGCAAATGCTTTGGTCCCCTTGAAATTTTTCACTCTTGTGAGAATGACTCATGTCTTGGAAATGACAATTTCCAAGTCTGGTGCTTGCAGCACCTTTCGGCATTGGTTAACGTGCCCACTGGGAGTGTTCAGCATCCTGTCAGCTGTGTTAATTAACAAGGGATGGCGTCCTTGTTCATTTCTTACTGAAAGCTCTGCAGCTCACCCTTTTCCAGCAGACTCCACTTTCCATTTGTGTTAAGGTTGCTGCTATCACGCTCCCATACCTCACATGGTGGTGCCCTCTGTATCTGCTAGAAGTGTAACTCACATCTGCATTTTGTTTAGAATGTTCATCAGCTTCCTTGCCAACTGACCCTTTAAAATGCATTGTGATGCTGGATTTTAGAAACACTTTCCACTCTGCTTCACTTTGCTCCTCAGCACAGTGTTTTCTTGTAGAGTCTACTGATCATTATCATTTCTACTTAAGAGAAAAAACAAAAACAAAAACCCATATGTCCACAAGGTATAAAGACCGCCAGCACTAGTGTCTCACCTACTTTGCATTATCGTGGCTATACTAATTACAGTTAATGAGATCATAGAATGTATAATGGCCAATTATTTAAAAAATAATTCAGTTATTGCAGACATGAGTTCATGCAGCTACACTGATTGGTGAGCAACTGCATTCCATATGTAATGCAATGACCAACCTCTCTTTTGATTGTGGGCTGATGCATTCCCCGAGAACCTTGCTGATAAAAATTTAAACCAGAGAAAGATAAAGAAAGGTTGGAGGGAGACTTATCTTCTTTTTTAAATCTTTTCTTTCTTCTGCTAGAATACATACATATTCAATTTCCATGCTACAAGGTCATACCACAGCCATGTTGTCTGTGGACAAGAAGAGCTAACATCATTGTTGGAAAGACCCACCAAAGTCTGATAGCAGTATAGTGCATACCTACTTATATATGATTATATGCCATAGAATGTGACGATGGACACATGATTGTTAATAGTCAACATATTTATTTTTAAAGTTTGATAAGAACTAGGAAAATATAACATTAAAGAAGTTTTTTTCTTTTATCTATCTATCTATCTATCTATCTATCTATCTATTTATTTTTGTTTATTACAATTTTCTTTGACATGAACTCAGTGGCTGGATCTTTGATCACCTCCCCCTGAGGAGGGTGCAGCCTTACCAAGCCACAGAGGAAGACAATGCAGCCAGTCCTGAGACCTGATAGGCTAGGGTCAGATGGAAGGAGAGGAGACCTCCCTTTCAGTGGACTTGAGGAGGGGCATAGGAGGAGAAAAGGGAGGGTGGAATGGGGAAGGGCTGAGGGAGGGGCCTACAGCTGTGATACAAAAAAAGAAGTTTTATAGAGATAATTGTCAATTTTTTAATTTAAAACAAATACATTCAGTTCCATAAATTATTATGTAGTAGTAATATGCAAATATGACCAATTCCCAAAGTTGATGTGAAAATCTAAAGAAAGGAACATAACAATTATGCATTGTATGATAGTTCATTCCTACAAAGGGGGGCTTTAGGCTCATAAAGAAAAATTCCAGTGCTCAGCATAAGAAATGCTAGGGGAAATAAAAACAAAAAAGGCCTTCTAGTCCTTAAGTAGTTCATAAGCTTGCTTAGACCGATTCTTGGGGACCACTGTCCAGGTGATTTGGCAAATTCCAGATCAGTAATAAACCTTGACGCAAAAGAAAAAAAAAATAGATGGAAGATGAAGAACTGAAGGCATAACCCTTGGGATTGTCATCTGGTTTTCACATGCAGACACACACAGGTGCAGTTCTACTTACAAAAACAAGTGAGCACGTGCACACATCACACACACACACACACACACACACACACACACACACACACCCCACACACACACACATGTACACCAACTTTATGTAGAATACATCCAGAATTTAGGGGTGAATTGGCTTAAGGTCTTACCTGCCAGATCTTTTGATATGTCAGATATTCAGCTGTTGGAACCAGTGGGATGTTATTTCTTACCCAATTAATCTGTTATTCTAATAATATGGATTTTGTTCTCTAATGCTGTTACTTTCCTAATCCCCAGGATGGTACCAGATAACACTGGTGGGTGAGAGAGACAGACATCTGAACACAGGAGCTTTGAGCGCTCTTTACACAGGGCACCTAGGGATAAAGAATTTCAAAGACAAAGAGGAATTTGTAAAGCACGAGCATCATCATTGAATAGGTCTTAAAAAAAAAAAAAAACAGTTATACAAACAAAAACACTGAGATTCCGAGAAGTGAGATAATCCATGCAAGGTCACAGCACTAACTGATAAGCTAGTCCCAGTACTACCTACTCTTTCTAATCTCTAGCCTCATCCAGCCGCGTGGAGAAAATGTAAGCGTAGGGACATGCGTTAGAGATGAAATGAAGTCATTGTTGGGAAATTCATCAGCGTCTCCTGTGGATTCCTTACTCATCAGTAATTAGAGGCTGAAGAAAGCATTGAGCAGGCAAAAAGATTGCTTTGCATTTAGGAAATGTTAGTTTGATGCCTAGCTGTAGCTGCATCCAGAGAGAGCTAGCTGCCTTAGACATACAACATAAGATACGAAAATAATGCATCCAGGTACGTGTTCAATGCATTGTGACATTTACTGGCATTACTCACTCATTTGGAGATTGAGACAGTCGTGTGAGTTGTGTTATCAGGGCATCCCAACTTTGCAGATGAGCCCTAGTGTCAATGTAACAAGTAAGAAACTCAGTGTTAGAATTCCTGAGTACTGTAGTGGGGAGAGCAGTACTGTTCCTAGCTGGGGGGCTATTGAATTGATGGCTGCTGGGCAATACAATTTTTACTAGGAATGCATCCTCCAGTAGGTATCATGCACAGCTTGGCAGCGCTCAGGGAACTAAGCGGGTTAAGAAAAAAAAAAAGTGGAAGGGGGCCATGGTGGCAGCAGTATGGGAAGACTTGGAAAGGAGGAAGTAGGCGCTAGAATCAAACACATTGAATACAAGTATGAAGTTATCAAACAATAAATACAAAATAAATAAAAACAAAGCTGGGATCCCTGATGGCTCTCTGTGTGGGTGCTTCGTGCCACCCATGATGCCTGTATGTGATAAGCGTGATACAAGAGTGGTTAACCGTAAGTATATCTGCTTACATTTCAGATGCATTGTGAGAGGTTCTTATGCGTCCTGAGAATAATTGGAACTACGCTTTTTGGAGTCTCTCTCCTCCTGGGAATCACAGCAGCTTATATTGTTGGCTACCAGTTTATCCAGACGGATAATTACTATTTCTCCTTTGGACTGTATGGTGCCTTTTTAGCATCACACCTCATCATCCAAAGCCTCTTTGCCTTTTTGGAACACCGGAAAATGAAAAAGTCCCTTGAAACCCCCATTAAATTGAACAAAACTGTAGCTCTCTGCATTGCTGCGTACCAAGAAGACCCTGACTACTTACGGAAATGTTTGCAATCTGTGAAAAGGCTGACCTACCCTGGGATTAAAGTCGTGATGGTCATAGATGGGAACTCAGAGGATGACCTTTATATGATGGACATCTTCAGTGAAGTGATGGGCAGGGACAAATCGGCCACTTATATCTGGAAGAATAACTTCCATGAAAAGGGACCTGGTGAGACAGAAGAGTCCCATAAAGAGAGCTCACAACATGTAACCCAATTGGTGTTGTCTAACAAAAGCATTTGCATCATGCAAAAATGGGGTGGAAAGAGAGAAGTCATGTACACGGCCTTCAGAGCACTGGGGCGAAGTGTGGATTATGTACAGGTAGGTCCCAAAATGCTGGCCAGGGCAAGCATAAGTTGAAATAAAGCAGCTTTTGTATCTTTCTAGTCCTATACTATAGCCCATCCTTGTCCCTTCTGAACACAGTGCTCCTTTCAGGTCATTGGAAAACAGCTTGACTGTTAAAAGCACATTTTGAAAGACAGAAAAAAAAAAAAAACCTTATAAAACTGTTAAGAGCAACTATGAAAGTACTTCCTTGTCCATGCAATTGGTTAGAAATCTGGATTATTTGGACAAGAGACTCTTCCTTTCATTCTCTCCCTTTTCCTTAGTTCTTCTCTGTACCTCTAGGTTCTGCCAAGTCAAATCCAACATCCTTGTCCACACTGTTTAAACACACACACACACACACACACACACACACACACACACACACAC